ACTTAACTACCACACCTTCGTCTCTTTGTCGTCCTCACAGCGTCATGGTGCTTAGCTCGCTGTCCCTATAGCTACACGCATCATCGTTTCCCGGAACCTGCCTGCTCACCAAGATTATTTATTCGCTCATGAATCCGTAACAAACAGTCTCGAATTTTGCGTAAAATTAATAATTATCTTTATTATTTTGAATGGTTTTTATTTATATTATTTTTATTCCATGAAAGATGATTTTTTGGTCCAATTTATGGTCATTCGGTTTCATCGTTTACTTGATGTGCGTATCTGCAACAATTCCGGTCTGCCGGAATTCCTGGAACGGTCTGCCGGCTTCCATAACATCGGTTCCTTCGTTGCCGGTGTTTCTTCATCGCCTAAAGACGGAACTATTTTATAGAGCCTCTGAATCAAGTGCTTAGTCACTTCTATCCGTTCTCATCCTTTCTCGTGTCTTTTTATTTTTTGTTCGTTTTGTTATTTTTGGTTAAACTTGAGTGTAACGTGCCCTCGAAGTTCGTTTGAACCAGACTCCACGATAACTGCTTCGTAGAATAATTCCAGCAATGGCTCGGGTAGCCTCTACATGTCGTATTCGCTGTCAAATTTTCTTGACTTGAGTTGCTTGCGCTGGGCCAGCTTTTTAGTCTGACTGATGACGTCGTTCTTATTCTGCAACGTAATCTTTGGCGAGTTAGTTAGATTATTAGTTAAATCGTTAATTTAAGTTTTTAATCTTTTGGTTGCTGCTCGTTCACAACTAACTGACATACTGCCTATTGGCTTGAAAACACCAGGCATATCACTCATTACCTGTTATTGTTGTCTTGCGGCCGTCTAGTTTACTATTTTAATGAGCTATTGTTGGTGAGTAAACCCCAGGCGTATGCTACTCTTCACCTCATTCTTTTCTCTTGCAAACTTCAGGCAAACTACTGTTTACCTGCAGTTGTTCTCTTGCAATGCGAAGTCACCATCTGCCCTACAACTTCTACGTATTTTGTGTTGATCGGAAGAGCATGCGTTTAACCTTTCACGTCACGTCGACCTGACCTACAACTTCTGCGTATTTTACGTTGCTTGGAAGAGCGCGCGTATAACTGTTCACGTCGATCTGTCCTACAACTTCTACGTATTTTACGTTGCTTGGAAGAGCGTGCGTATAACTGTTCACGTCGATCTGTCCTACAACTTCTACGTATTTTACGTTGCTTGGAAGAGCGTGCGTATAACTGTTCACGTCGTAGGTGCGCATGCGGTGCCCACATTTGTAAAGCACGTGCACGTGCCCACATATGGTGAAGCACGTGCACGTGCACGTGCCCACATATGGTGAAGCACGTGCACGTGCCCACATATAGTGAAGCACGTGCACGTGCCCACATATGTGAAGCACGTGCTGTAGGGGGCGGTGCAGGAGGCGTAAGCAGGATCAATAATTACAGCGTGGTGGGTGGAGGAAGCGCACGCAACAGGTGTGACGTAACACTTGTTGCGTGGAGACCTGAACGAGCTTGTCCTAGACCTTCAGTGACAAGGTACAAGCAGCGTGCCTCGTAACTTCATATAATTTTTTTATAGGTGGTTCATCGCAGCGGAGCTACTCCCATACATTGAATACTTTATTCAGGAGATTTATTAATCTTTAATAAAATGGCTTTACTATCCACAATAAAGCCAGAGTGACCAATTCGACTAGCTCAGTCAGCACTGGTTGCTTCGTCTTTCCTGCGCGCTCCCTGACAGAGACTGAAGCATTGCTGCCCAACCTCAAATTTACAATCAATCGCATAGGACATCATATGTGCACACCATTTCGCTGCATAGAACCTCCCAATCGTTTAAATGATGTACTCAACTATTTAGAATTACGGTGAAGTCGAATGTCGATTCAGTCAAAGTTTTATAATTTTGTGTCATAATTATTCTTTTTTTGAGCTAGCGGTGTTATTAAGACTGCTTTAGATATTTGATTAATTCAATATCATTTTTTTTTTTGCGTAGAAGAAATGAATGAAATCTTTTTTCACTTGCGATCAATGGAACAAAAGCGAAAAAATTAAAATACGCTAACTGACACCATGGAGCAGCGATCAGATGCCACTATATTGTGGATTGATCTTGTTAAAACACTTTAATATAGTGTTTAAACTAGAATGAAACTATCCATTTCGACCTGAAAAATTAGAACCACTACATATACTCAGAACGTGAAGTTTTCATCTCCTTCTCTTTCATTGCACACTTGAAGACGAATAAGTTTTTTCTTTGCTCACTTGAAGACGAATAAGTTCTGAACGTACCTACATCAGACAGCCTGACCCCGTTGAGGGTTAAAGTATGCATGAGGGGCGGAACAGCTCTAGCGCATGTATCAGGTCAACGTGCCGCGAGGGAACGAGGGGGAATGTGGAGATAGAGATCCCGTCATACCTGGCATCTCACGTTTAAATACTTGTCACGTTCTTTCAATTTAATTTACTCATAATCAACGTTGTTTCAACGTCATTCGCCTGGAGTGCCGATTAGCGTATGACAAATGTGAATGGTATCCCCGTGTATTGTAAGAGAACAATTTAGGCCGAAAAATTTCGCGTAATGTTACCGGTCTCGGCACATTTATTATATTGGTGGAACTGATATTTTCCATGAGTATAAAATGACCATGCGCAGGACATGCGAACGCTACGAAGTGGTAGAAACTGCAAGAATTGATGCAAGTTTTTAGTGTTGAAGTAGCAAAAAGCGTTACGAAAAACTGAGTTGGGTGGATACCTGTATCACCGATAAATGAGAGGGGCTTGCGGAGGGGTAAGGGGTGAGTAACCGCATACAGTTAATCACTGATCACGTGTGGTGCAGGTTGGGGGGTTAGAGGGGCCTTAGTGGGGGAGGGGGAGTAGAGGATGGATGTTGGGGTGTGCGTGTGTGTGTGTGTGTGTGTTGCTCCATGAAAAGTGCGGATCAATAAAGCTACGGAAGTTGGTACTCATGATACGTCTAACCTCCGACCCACTGATCGTGTTCAACTCAAGAGTGCTGGGCTATGAGCCCAATCTGTGCGCGTTTTTACCTGCCTCGATTTTGGCCATTACTACGTGCCGATTTTTTTTAGTTTTCTCAAATATTTCATGACTTCGTAGTATTATGTTCTCAGTGCATGTCTTTCGTGCCGATCTCGCAAAAAGAGCGAATTTTTTTAAAGTAGTACATCATATAATGATCCCTATGATCATTATATTATGTCTGACGTGCCTCGCGTTGACGGATCTTTCAAGGTCTTTGTGGTGTAAGTGGTGGATTGGACGCACCCTACACATTTTCCATATATTCGAGTCGAGGAAACTTTCCTGTTTACCGGACAAACGAAAGACGAAGTTGTTCAGTCGAGGAAACATCAGAGCGAGGTCTACGTTCAAGATTGCATCCACGTACCAACCCTTGTACTTCCTGTTACCTCCTTTGTGCCCTGTTTGTACCCAACGTTGTATGCTCAATGGTTGCTTGCCCTCTATCCTCTGTTGTTCCCTCATTTGTTCCATCCGTGGTTCTCTGGCTTGTACTCTCTGTTACTCCCTTCCTTGTACTCGGCGTTTTACCTTCTGTAGTTCCCTGCCTTTGATTTTCAGGTCTTCTCTCATCTTTTTCGCTCTTGTTCACTGCCTTGTTCCGTGCCATTTTGACACCGAGCCATTTTGCCACCGAGCCATTTTGCCCTCGTGCCATGCTGCCCCCAAAGCCATTTTGCCCCCGTGCCAACCTGCCCCCGTGCCAAGCAGCCACCGAGCCATTTTGCCCTCGTGCCATGCTGCCGCCGTGCCATTTCACCCCCGTGCCATGCTGGCATCGCGGCACTGGTGGCACTCTGTGCCGTGACCTGCGTGGCAGTTGCAGAGGGTGCCAGTGCCGCTGCCCGGTCACTGCTGGCCAGTTACCCTGTAGCCTGAAGCGTGATCGCTGCACTCCCTGACACTCTTCATGTGCGCCCGCGCTGGAAAGCTAAACGGTCTTTCCTTTAACTAAATTAAGTTATTTGATTACATAATTATTAAAGCCCATTGCAAGTTTGTGTGGAAACGAGAACTTTATTCACTTATTGTTATTGCCGTTTACGATAGTTTTCAATGGTTTTACTCTTCCCAAGCGGTATTATTCAAGACATACAATATTCTATGGTTTACATTTGGTGTTACTTATTGCTTACTTCTGATAATTAAAGTAAATGTTGAGTAAATTTCCGTTTTTGGCGATTCTTGTATAAAGTCTTGTACGATACTTTTACTCGGAAGCGATCGTTCTTAAATGTATTGAGTGGTTCAATGGCAAGCGATGTCGGACGAAGAAACTCTTAGGTCTTAAAAATACAGTTCATTTTCCCTACTCGCTACAGACCTCGTGCGATCATGAAATATAATTCAGAAGCAATCCTCTTATACCCGATTGATGCAGCATTTTTTTGCGTTCTGATGAGACATTTATGAATAAATATACTTGTATATAATTACCATTTTGTGCCGTCAGTATCTATATAAATAATTCTTACTTGACTGCTTCAGATATTGCTCAGTATCGATGACGTTCGCGTGTCCATGAAAGAATCGGCAGATATGTTCACATTTGTACCGCAAAATTATTCAACCTAGCGGAATTGTGGTTATTAAACTTTCATAATCTTCGAGTGGTTAATTTGTGTTAAACCTCGATATTTCGGAGTTATAGCTATTTTCGGATCTATCGAATATTTTATGGTCTTCAGGGTCATCTGTGCCTCAAAACACTTTGGTTACTGCTCAACGTATTTTGAGTCTGATGTGATCACAAGTTAGTCTTATAGGTATGTTCAGTCGAGATCTTTCTAAAACATTTCTCGACATTCGCAGTTTATAAATAATTTTGCTCAGTCGAGATCTTTCTAAAACATTTCTCGACATTCGCAGTTTATGAATAATTTTGCTCAGTCGAGATCTTTCTAAAACATTTTCTCGACATTCACAGTCTATGAACAATTTTGCTCAGTCGAGATCTTTCTAAAACATTTTTCGACATTCGCAGTTTATGAACAATTTTGCGTAACACTTATTTCTGGTTGACGAGATCGAACAATCGCAACCGTGGACTACAGGGCAGAGAAATTGTTGGAGGGCGATGGGGATGAGCTGTCGTGTGAGGGCATCATCGTCAAGCGCGAGGCCTTGGATGGAGTTTTCGGCGAATCTTCGGTGGCCATCGAAGAAGAAGAACACTCGCGATCCTTGTGGTCGTCTCGGTCTTCCTTCGATGAGGATCTCTCCATCAACTTGGGACATTGCACCTCGAATGTTGAGTGCCTTATTGACCCCCTACCATCGCCGTCCTCACCCACAGACTATCATGTCGGTTCTAAAGCCAACGTATCACCAATGGCTGCCTCTTCAGGGATCCTCCGTAATGCGCTAGCAAGCGCCCCTGCCAGGAGTCGTATTAAAAACGTACCCATGCAACGTTCGTCTCTAAATCGATCTCAGCATCAACAGCGCCAACAACAGCAAACGCAACAGCAGCAACAAACGCTACAACTAGTGCAACGTCAACAACAGCAGGCACATATACCACAAACTCAACATCTTCAGCAGCGTCAGCAACTGATTCATCAGGCACAAGAACATCAGCAACTCCAACTGCAGCAACAGCAACAAATACATCAGCAGGTGAACAGGCAACAGCAACAACAAGGTCGTCAACAGGATCACTCCTCTGTTCCTCAACAGCTGCAGAACTTGACAGGAGTGACGTGGCGAGAGGCACGTAACTGCAGCCAGGTCCTTGAATGCGATGCTTCATTACTGCCCAGCTTTGGCACGAGCTTCTTGCCCGTACCTAACGTGTCCGTCGCAGGACTCGAAATTTCTGCAGTGTCAGTCGCACCGTCGGAAATTTTCAGGGCGTCTGTAGCCTCGACATCACAGCAGCAGCAGCAACAACAGCACAGCTCGACCTTCACTCTTGCAGACGCTTCAAATTCTATACCAATGAGCGTCCAATTCTATAACGGTAAGTCATTCCAAAAACGCAATGCTACCTCAACTCATACGGAAACAAGTGAAAACTAATGATTTTCTATACAAAATGTCTCATAACCCTACAATGTCTTGCAGCTCTGTAACACTTTGAACTCTGGCGTGTTAAACCTCATAGATTTGTTCGCAGTGTTGCCAGCCATCGCTCCAATGACCGCCAAATGGTCGCAGAAATACGCAGATTTTCTACAGATTCTTCGCCTCTAACTTTCCTATGGTACCCGCAATAATTTATTCAATCGTTTGTTGTTCATTCTTCTTAGCTTCCGTTTTCTGTGCATCTTCTGTTCACAGTTTCGGAGGGTTGCTATTATGTTTGAATATAACCAAACAATTTGCAGATAAAAAAATCATATAATGAGCGATTTAATTTCCTTTCTATTTGGTAGAAAGGAATTTACCTGTTTTATTTGGATAGAGGGAAGAATGAATTTTTCAAAATTAGTTCATTTTATTTTAGCGCATTTTCAATCATTAATTGATCAATCTCATTGCCAGTTCTGGCCGCAGCAATAAAGCCACTCCTAAACTACCCTTTAATATCAACTTGTGATCTATCATTTATCTCTATGTGTAGAGTCTGCCGTTGTGAATTGCCTAATCTTGTTATGTTTATGACAAATTTTCATGCACAGATGATATTGAGCAGTAAAATAGATTTTCATCATTAATAAATGCATTTATTTACGATTCATTAAATGATATGAATGGTTATTTACGGACGTTGTTAGATACCGTGTTGGGCCTGTGGAATCACGGAAAAAACAACACGGTACCGAGAAATCTATCATCACTTAAAATGATGAAAAGTTTACAACTTTTTTTACAGGTCCAAATTTTGCTACCTTAAGTTATATTTTAACTCTCGATTTTACATCTCACATTTTCCGTCACGTTAAATAGATGCAGCCATTTTATGCCACGTTCGCCGGAACATGCTCCCATTTGTAGTACATCTTCGTTCATGTTCACATCTGTTATAAATATTTGGTATTATGGTAGGATTTTCTGAACTCTCATCTATGTCCATTCAAGTATCTTAACTTTCTCCCGTGACGTTAAAAACTATTATTTTCTTTTATTTCAATACATCGAACGTGCACAAAATACATCTTAGAATTTTTATCAAATGGTATAGTACATAATACATCTTATCATTCATAAAAATTACTAGATTGCTTAAGTCGCAAGTTTACCAAGAATTTACAAGCAAAGAAAACAGCCAGAATATTAACCATTTCTTAAGAATGAAAACGTTTCGGAGTCCAGCTCCATCGCCAGTTCAAAAGTTCAAAAACTATAAGAAAAGCAGAATCAATTAGAAAACTAAATTCACATCGAAGATAAAAACAGTCAGTTTTCAATTTATATAAAACAGATAAAAACGGTCAGTTTATATAAAACAGATAAAAACAGTCAGTTGTCAATTTATGTATTTATCTTCGATGTGAATTTAGTTCTCTAATTGATTCTGCTTTTCTTATAGTTTTTGAACTTTTGAACTGGCGATGGAGCTGGACTCCGAAACGTTTTCATTCTTAAGAAATGGTTAATATTCTGGCTGTTTTCTTTGCTTTTAAATTCCTGGTAATCTTATCATTCTTATCAAATGGTAAAGTTATACTATGTCTGCAATAAATTTTTAATATATTCTGTGGAAATATTCGCAATAAAAAATTTTTCGGCAATATGTCTTTCTTCACTCCTAGATTGTTAACATCACGGGGCAATTGTAACATAACGCATCTATGATCAAAACACACATTCTTTGGTATTCAACACTAATCAAGAAGGCTCATTACATTTGACGGACGTAATTAGTGTTGTTGTTTTTGTGCTGTGGTCACAACATATCGAACGCTTATAGGGTGGGGATTGGTATCCGGGATACACGATGGGTTTTCGTACATGCATTACAATTATCTGATATCGTGCATTGCTATGAGCATATTTACACTAATATGAACAATATATATTGCCAGCAGGTGTTGCTTTACCATGCATTCACCTGCAATTATTGTCGCATGATCCGTAGTTATATTGAACTTCACAGGGTATTAACCTGCCGGATAAAGTTTTATCCTATATATACGCGGACTCAGCGAGTTCTCGCGCAGCACAATCCCACAGCTAAATTTCACCAAGTCCCGTCACTCGCTTGTCTCTCCGCGCCTCAAATTTTGTTCCATGACACCGGCGTTGTTTGTCCGTGATCTGGCAGGCAGCTGCACGTCAGTTTTATTTATGTCAGCAGCGCTCCAGTTCATAAAATTTAGGCTTGCCTCGTAATAGTCTGTTATGAACGACTTCCAGTACCAACGTCCCCCTCACAAAACTTGCTCCTTAAGCGCCGCCATGTCCTGTTATTAGAGAAGCTTAATATTCCTTCTCTAGGAGACGATTGATATATAAATATAATGGTTCGGGTAGCATCTCTAATTTAGTTCTAAATGTGATCAAGTATGTGCTACGCACCGTAACTTGTATTTCAATGCATCTAGAACCTTTATATGATGCTTAGGGGAATTAATGAATGACATTGTGATCGAACACGCTTAGCCAGAACCTCGTTTGGGATATTCTTAGAAATTGTATACATTAGGTTGATTAAAATGTAATTAAAATGTAATGTAACTCAAACCACCGGCTACTATAAAACTGTAACTTGAACATGACATGTCGTTTGACGTGACTCTTCCGTCATCATTGAGCGTGACTCTGGTAGGAATGTATTGTATGATCATTAGTACTCCAGCTACAGAATTGTAATGCAGCACAGACGTTGTTGTTGTGTAGCGGCAGCAATATTTATTACCGCGTTCGCTGAACTTCATTAATTACGCCCGCTCAGCCCCCGAGTCTTTAGTTTTTTATCGTCATTGTGAGTGCAGTTGTTTTGTTGCCCGCGCTTTATTTTGCGGCAGCGAGGTTTCCGTTTTATTTTTCTCACTGGAGCTCACGTCGCGAGCTGCGCAATGGGGAGTTGTGATGAAGATCATGGAAAAGTTTAGGTATAGCTGGGTCGTAAGTTTCTACTTCTTCTTAGTCGCGATTGTTTTTAATTATGGACTGTGAATGCTGTTGTTCCGGTCTCAGCGGCAAATAGTTGCTTTTGCAAGGCATTCGGCGACGGTTTCCTTGTGTAAGCCCGGGAGGATGTCTTGCCTTGTTATATGATGTGTATTTCTCGTAATTTTTTGTTCACCTACGCCTACTCTGTAATTATTCGCACATTATATCTTGTCTTTATCGCTGTAAAATGTTAATTCAGTAAATTTCGGATCGCTGTCCCTCGGATCACTGGAGAGTACAATCTTAATAAACAGGAGATGTTGCGAATAATAATTTAGACTGATTTTAATTACTGTATCTGCTGACATGTCAGCTAGGAAGCTGGCAAGTTAAGCCAGCAATCGACTATTTATCAAGACTTCTAAGCATTGAACTCATTTGAAGCTCCTGCCAAACGGGCCTCGTGTAATATGTGTGTAAACAGCAGCTAACTCAATTAAATGAATATCTATGTTTTTATCTATGAATATAATCACATTAAAACGAATCTGTGTAATGCCTAATCATCAATGGGAAGCTCGATCTCGTCTAACGCGTGTTTTTCAACGATATTTGCTTCAAGCTGCCCATTATAACTTGATCATTTTTGTGTCTATGAGAGCGTCATTGGGCGGGTAACTTTTCTCCCCGTTGGGCGCGGGGTTGGGAGAGATTCTCTCCATTTTTAAGAACGATGCTTTCCGAGCGCTCGGCAAATGAATAAAATAATCTGCTATCTCGTAGATCAGCGCCGACCATTTTTGGGCACCTTCATAAATCGTGCCGTTCGCAGGACTTTTTTTTCACCTCGCTGGGGAGGATGGGCGGGACGCGCGATCTGCATGTGTGTCCTCAGGCAGTTACACTCGTCACGGATCGATCAAAATGTAGAATTATCCCTGTTCTTTTCTGCGGATGAAATTATCTAGGCTGATCTGCGATCAAAAATCTGCTCCCTTTTGACGAGTCTTCTTTGGAGTATCGAGCGTTGCCCCTGCAGCCTCAGCGCTGCTTTTTGTCGCGAGCTGATCTATGCGCAGATATCCTGCTGGTGCTGTCTGCAGGCAGGTGCTGTCTGCAGGCAGGTGCTGTCTGCAGCAGGCAGGTGTTGTCTGCAGGCAGGTGCTGTCTGCTGCTGCACTCGTATAACAGGTCTTGTATGGGAGCTCGTATATATGGAGACTCGAGGTCACCTATCTTCAAGAGGGTCGTGCAAGGATCAGATGCAAAGGGAGGATGAAGATCTCGCCAGATCCGAGAAAGCTATCGCTCATCTCATCTACCCTCTGTACAAGACACCTGCTTGTTCTCAGTGCATGCAGTCTCCCGTATATATACTTGCATATTGAGCCATTGGCCTTCTAGTTATACTCGCTCGTTGCCGTCTCATTAATTCACTACCGTGAATACTTGAAGATGTTCGTAAACTTCATTGCCAAATCTTTGTGTCTTTATATCGATATATCGTAATTTTTTTCGTTCACCAGAATTGAACCAGTAGCTAGGTACAAATAACCACGCAATTTCTTAGTATAGATGATTCTCTGTGAACAAAAACTCTGGAAACGCGTTGATTTTTCTTTCACTTGCGCTGTTACGTTTCTCCCTACCTCACGCAACTCAGTATCTCCGTGATTACATCATCCTTCAACTCCCCTCGTATCTTTCTACTCATGGGCGACCTCCTCTCATGGGCTGAGCGCGTTATGAAGTCTCGGCAGTTCTCGGAACTTTCTCTGCCAAGAAGTATGTATGCTAATACACTACTAATTTTACTGGCAAACTGGGCCGTTTGGTTTGGATCCCAATCGTGCCTTGTAAATAAACTGTTGAAACGATTAGAATTCAATATTATTTCACATTTATTTGTTTGCAGAAGCAAAGTAATAACCAAGTTAAATTTATCCTGTGATGCTTACTACA